GTTTCTATTTTTAGTTTGTTTCTCAAAAACTCTTCCACCTATGTCACGATTTCTAGCATTCCTTCATTCTCTTCATCCCTTTGACTTAGCATCTCCGTTACTCCTTTCAAAACTATATTATTCGCTCGCTCCGACCTATCTTTGACGTATATCAGCTTTTTCATTAATGCAACTTCCCTACTTGATAGGGCTGAGTATCCGCTGGCCCAGCTGTCTGCGCTCCTTGCTCTGCTTCTCGTTCCTTCTCTCTCGCTCCTATGTGTTCTTTGACTCCTTGCGCTCCTTAAGCTCCATGTCGATCCTCTCGTCTGTCTATCACCATCTGTCGTCTCTCTCTCTGAAGCTCCTTCCTCCTGCTGCGAATCCTCGCCATCCTTGCTCGGTATCATCATTACCTCCTTCAACTTTTCACTTATATCTTGCACAGTATTTTCCAGATTTTCCACTTTGCCTTTCATACTTTCCAGCTTTTCCTTCAGATTTTCTATTTCCTCCTTCCGTTCAGACATTTTCGTTTTTATCTCTTTTCTCTCCTTTTCCCATGCCTTGATCTCTTTAGTCACATTTTCTTTTAGTCTCTTATTTTGTTTCTTTATCTCTTCCAACTCTTCAGCAATGCTTTTTAATTCTACATCTTTAAATGTAACTTTTTTCATGTTGTCTAGTGTTGATTGTCTCGTTTTCGGTTTATATATTTTTTTGTTCTTACTCTGCATCTTTTCGCACCGGCGGGGCGGAACTAATCTCTCTGCACGCCTGCATTCTATTTCTCCTTTTCCTATTGCTTTATACTTTCCAATCACCAAAACTCTTTTCACACTCCCTTTTTATCCACTGCTTGTACTTTTCTATAAGAACTGATTAGATCTTAATAGCTAATTGCTTGGAATGTCTTATCTTTTCGTTGGTTAACGCACGAGCACATGTGCACACTCCCGCGTCCTTAAGTTAATTTCGACTGAAGATTTGAGGATTAATAGGATTGTTTGACGAAACCTGTAATCTACAAATCCTAAAGGATCACAAAGGGTAGGCTAGAGCGCGTCGACACGTCTGTGGCATCTTTAATTGCTGAAATCGTTTCACAACCGTTCACTGTCCAGAGAGGCTTGAGGAGCTCCCTTTTCCAACTACTTGCTCTTAAGCAGAGCCGGCTACAGATGACTTGACTAGCCGACCGCTCTTAGTTCGAATGTAGTTATAAGAATTTTTGCGCTCCTTCCACGCTTACAGCTGGCCAGTGAAGCAAGTGCAAACTGAATAAGGCATCCAACCTCCCGCTTACAGTGACTTAGCACTCGTCGGTTCACGATGCTAACCGCCTTCTTAGTACAAAGTCGATAGCTGGCGTCCAACACAAACAGAAAAGCCGCAAAACCGGCCGGCTGTGCCACTGGTGACTGCCGTGAGGAAGGAGAAACTCAACGAATTATTTTCTCCGATTCCTCCCTCATCCTATATTATAATCGCAGAGAAGTATGATTTATTATATACGTTGATTTGGAATGTTTGTTGAAACCAGTAAAAATGGACGAGTCTTTCAAGAGCATAAAGTTTTCTGTGTAGGAATTTATATAAATTTTAATTGTGATAATTTGAGTTGATATTCAAATTGTTACAGGGCTACAATGAGTTCATTGGCCCTGTGTGCGGCACTCTATTTACACGAACGCAGCAACCGAGCGTATATGGCGATAAAGTATAGTGATGAAGAAGTTTGGTCTAGGAGAGTGGGCAAAGGAGCGGTGCGTGTGGCGACGGAGACAAAAAACCATAAATTAAAGAAAGGGCAGTGAGACGCGAGTTAAAAGAGAGAGAAGGTCGCCTAAATTAATCACAAGATAAGTCTGACGAGCCACTACCATTTTGGGGCACTCACGAGCTGATTACCTGTCGTGGAAAATCAATGTCGGTGATAGAACCATCGCTTGTTGCAAAGCAGTTCGATTCTTCGTAGAGGTCAAGTAATTTCGACATTAGGATTTCATGCCCAAGGAGCACGGGCCAAGCGGCGGCTGTACCAAAGCTACTACCAATCATCGTCAGGGCTCTACTGCCTTCATTTCTGCCGACGGACCGTCGATGCCTGGTGGGTCACTCTCTTGAGCATTCATATTCTCTCTCACGCCAACTCTCGCTCGATTAGTGATCGTGGATTTTCGCATGATAAACACGCATGCTAAGCGAGCTCGTTCGCGTGAACTTTTCGTTTGTTATTAGATAATCGCGTACGCTGAGCGAACTCGCTCACGCGAATTCTTTTCATTGTCGCGATCTGGGTTGAGCGAACGCTCTCGCCTGCGCTGTTTGCTGTTTGTTAAAAATAAGATTTATGTCTATATTTTGGCGTAATAAAGGAGATTGCCTTTTTATAATTTAATTGCGAGTGATTCTTGTATATCCGCTGACCTCTTCCGATAGCAATTGATTTGCCTGGAAAAATTATTGCCGATTTTTTTTACCGACTAGAACTCTAGATAATAATAGTAGGGCCCGGCCCGGCCCTTGGCGCACGGTGCCCAATACTTTTGCAAAGTCTTATATAAAAGCTACAATGAAAAAGAATCACCAACAGAATGGCTTATAGATCAATTCAATATTATTATCTTAATTACAAAAAGTATACAAAAATGCTATATAAATGAACCTTCTGTAACAAAATTAAATGAATTATAAAACGACTGATATGTCATATTTATAATAAATACTTTCATCTTCAGGATGAAAGTATTCTTCTTAGGATCCCCTATCTTAGATCTCCTTTTTTTAGGATTTACGACGAATCACTGTCATTTGATAGGTAAATTTAAATGTGAAGTTCATAATAGCTGTAATTTAAACTATAAGAACGTTTATTTTATAATAGTTATCTTTCATACTTTACGGGTTGTAAGGAAATTGCTACTATTTTATATTTTGAAGAGAATGTAATTACAAGTATACTAGTTAAAAATAAAAAAATACATATTTTTTACAATAAAAACTTGCGATTATGTACGGAATAATAACTATTCATTTCAGATTAATGATATTATAAAATTACGTACACTATATAATATAGATGATAAATTCTGTAATAATTTCAGAGAAATTCGATAGTTATTCAGTTGTGCATCTCGATTCAACTATCGACAAATCCAGCTGTCGCTGAGCTTGTCAACTTTTCGGCTTACATATTTTTTTGCTACATTCGCTCAATTACTAAATTATGATGCATTGAATTTTCACGCCCCAAGACGTAACATTACGTTACTGCAATTTTTCTTTTTAATTCATACAATTTTCTAAATCAACTATAATTTGAGTACTAAAACCTATTACCGATACCAAATTTTATTGTTTTTACTGATTAGTTGTAGGTGGACCTACAAATAACAAAAATAAAAGTTTTAACCTCATTGATAATCTACGTAATTATATAATTCAGTTATAGATTTTACAAAAAAGTTAAATTTAGATGCTAGGTATTAAGACCTTGTTGGAGGATAGTTGATGAGAGCATCTATTCACGTTTTGAGAAAGTTAGATTTCAGTATGTCTGCTAGGAGCAGATAACCTCCTCAAACTATTTCTGTATAAAAAGAAAAAAGAGAGACGATAAGATCTAAATATGAATATCCATAAAAGAACGATATAGAAGAAAGAAAGAATCAACTGTTTTGTGGCTATTGTTGTTAACGAATCACGTGAAGAATTTTTCACACGAGCGAAAAATTCATACTAATGAATAGCTTATTTTTACTATGCTGAAAGATCAGATGAAATATAATATCATGATAAAATAATTGTTTGAAATTTTCCTAATAGTTTGAAAGTCATACACTAAAATAATGAAGTATAACATCAGCATTAACTAATAATTCCAATTAATATAGAAAGATTAAAATATTAAGGTAAACTTTCAAACAAAATACGATATAATAAATTTAATACCTATTCACTATTTTTTAACTGAAAACATAAGTAACAAACCTGCGAAAATATGCTAAAACGAGTACATTTAAAGAGAAATACCATATCAGTAACATCCACTCACGATGAAGAGTTCTGTTAGATTTCAATAAAATTGTTAGACATTTCTAGATGAAACTTTTAACATATTATTGGATATGCATTGCAGTTAACTTAAAGGTTCTCATTTTTTAGCACATATCATGTTTGACTTAAGGGGACCAGAGGGTGTTTCGTAGTGAAAAATTAACACTTTGTTTATTGCCGCGTAGAAATCATTCTACTGAAGATATCGATGTAGGACTTTTTTCAGCTGAAAGTATTCTATATAAGCTTTCATTTTCTTTGTTATAAGTTCCAGAATAATCATTGTACACCTAATATGGACACAACAAAGACCAAGCTCTATTTTTCAAAAAATGGGGCTTTGCCACGCCTTTCTGAACGCCAGAGTGGACAAAAATCGTTTTGTGAGAGCTCATTTTTTTTGTTATGAACCGGACTACAGAATGAGCGGAGCACTTTTATAAAAAAGATAATTCTTCCTATTTTTTTGAGCCAATATATGAAATTTTAATTTTTCAAAAAAATTTTTTTTGCAAATTATCCTCAAAAAATAGGAAGAATTATCTTTTTTAGAAAAGTGCTCCGCTCATTCTGTAGTCCGGTTCATAACAAAAAAAATGAGCTCTCACAAAACGATTTTTGTCCACTCTGGCGTTCAGAAAGGCGTGGCAAAGCCCCATTTTTTGAAAAATAGAGCTTGATCTTTGTTGTGTCCATATTAGGTGTACAATGATTATTCTGGAACTTATAACAAAGAAAATGAAAGCTTATATAGAATACTTTCAGCTGAAAAAAGTCCTACATCGATATCTTCAGTAGAATGATTTCTACGCGGCAATAAACAAAGTGTTAATTTTTCACTACGAAACACCCTCTGGTCCCCTTAATGTTATAGTATGGCACATATATGTTTACCATGAATGTGCTATGTACTACGTGCAAGACATTATTAAGAATAAAAAAGAGAACTAAAATATACTCACTCTAGGAATGCCTGCTTCTCTAGTAGATATTCCCATTTTTTCGTGATGTCTTAATTGAACAGGGTAAATGATTTGATAGAAATGAGCTCCTATATTTTTTACTAATTCTTCATTCTGTTGATATTGACGAAGTAACCGTTCCACTTCACCTAAAATTATAGATAGATATTCATATTATTTTGTATATAAGAAGGATAATTAACGATGGCGATTGCATAGTCCTCACGGGTACGCAAGACGTAGGTACAATATGTTGGATATATTATAATAAGCTAAAAAGAAGGAAACTTCTATTATCATGTTAATAAATAGTATAACAACACTATTTTTCTAGATACTAGAGATTATTAAAAAAAATTTAGTTCAAAATACTCGTTCATATTGGATATATTTTTACATATTAATATATATAGCTATTTTGGATTTTTAAATATACATAACATCTAGAAGAAAAGAAGATAAAAAAGAAGACAACCATGAATATGTTGATGAAAAAAAAATTAAAATAAGATAAAATAAAAAAATATGAAAATAGAAAAATAGAAGATAGGAAAATAAAAAACTCTACAGTAGTAAGGGCTAAGGGGATCCTGAGCCACTTACCATGCGATTTTTCGATGCCTACTCTACCGACGATCGGTAACGTTATAAATCCTCATATTGGCGATCTGTGAGCTGCTTTATCGACAGATGTATATCGACCTGCTTGAATGAAATCGTTTGCGACCGACTGTGTACCGACGTACAGACCCCATGGTCCCCATCGGCAATTAATAATTCTTGTATCGACGTGCAGATCCCATGCCCCCAGCCGGCAGTTACCGACTTTTGTATTATCGACGTGCATGTCCCCGGCCCGCGGCTCCATGCCCCATGCCCCTTGTTCCATGCCAAAATAAAAAATGTTTGCTTTATGTTGATTGATTGTGATTGAGTAGAAAGCGTAGGTCTGTGTAAGTATAAAAGATTTTTTATTATTAACTTTCGGGGTTAGGTTGATTAAATAAACAGAGATATAATTTACATGAAAAAAAAATCTATTTATTATCATAAATTATAAACAACTAAACAATTATTGATGTTGAGCATGATGATTATATGCTTACAATGATTATACGTACATGTACATATGATTATTTTTTTGTTTTCTTTCCGTTGTCAAACTGTTGATTTGCAGAAGACGAGAGTACTTCACGTTTGGATAGCGGTTCATATTATTTGAATGTTTGGTGCTGAATGATCTGATGATGCTCAAACTGCACTACTTATAATAGCTGACAACTGCATTTGTCATAAATTCGAAAGAGTAAGAAAGATAGTTACGTTCAAATTTTTCCATCATAGTCATCAGAGGTTCTTGTACTTTTTCTTCTAACTATTTCTGATAGGTTTGAGTTGAGTAAAGAGGAATAGTTTCCACTTTGAACAGCTTGACTTTTATTTTTTTGGAGATTGATTGCTAATTTATTCTTGATACACAGCTGTAAAAACAATGTCTACTTCCCTTAGAAATGACTTTTTGACCAAATTAAATACGGTGGCTTGAACACGTTCAGCCACATATTTGAAAAAAACTTTGTTTATTGAATAACGAATATTCGTCAATGTATATGTAGCTAACCTACTTTAAATAGCACTTGGAATATCATCTAGTTTAAAATCATGAATATAACCATTTCCATGACCAACTGTCTTCTGGTAGTTTTTCATGTACCAAAGAGCTTTCAACAAGGCTATGGAGTATTCGATTTTTCTGCAATCTTTCTCCGAATATTCATAATAATAAGCATCTGTTATCAATTCTACACCTTCGTCATAGCAATACTCTAAGGAATCCATCTCTTTTTGAATCGTAGGATCTATACCATCAAACATAGAAATAATATGCGCATTCAAGCTGGCTAATACCTTAGCTTGAATTAAATCAATAAATTGTGTCATGATTGAGCTGGTGCTGCTACAGAAGGTGAACGAGCCGTGGTGCAGATACAAAAAGTGAATGAGGTGTGGTTCATGAGCCAAGCTTCTTTATACAAGCTGCAAGCACATCATGGTAGGGGTAACTGACTTTGCTTCAACTTGTCAATGTCTGAATATACCCCTAGAAATTTCATATCAAGTTCCTCTCGATGAATATCGATCAATAAACTCATTTCTTTTAATTCAGCTTTTATCTTTAATATAGTATCTTTAATATTTTTTAGTTCGACTAATAGATTCTCATGTAAATTTTTCAAGTTTAATTCGTCAGCTCTACCAAGTTTGCATCCAAACACATCAATGCTCATCGTTGAAATGAATGAAAAAGACTAAAGTATTTATTCGACTTGGGTTTTATTTATGCAATATTCTGTTACATTGAGAAAAACTTTATGGTTTTACAAATTCAAGTAAATATCTGCCAAGATATCTCAATCTAAGTGTTTTTTTCTCAAGTTCTTCAATTAGAGTTACGTATTCAGAAAAAGTATACGTAGCTATTATATGAATTATACAAGTTTGGTTACACGACCACTTATAGGATTATACTTAACTATACGATCGTGTAAAATCAAACAATATGCGGCTGTTTCCGCGGGCACATCATTTTTGGTTTCAAACTCAAGACGTACATCGACAGCAGCTTGTTTCAAAGATTCATTTTGCTTTGAACAATCTATCACTATTAACGGTGCATGTGTGATAAATTGTTTTTGATCTAAAAGTGGATTGAACATACAGTCTCTATTGTAATAGTTCAATTGGAATTGAGCATACATATCATATAAGACAGAGTATTGATTGTTACTTATATCAAGATTTAAATTTCTATATGGACATTGCTGAGAATTCAGAAAAAGTTTAACATTAGTTCCATTATAATGATCAAATCTGCTAGAATTGTTAGTTTTATCAGACTTGCGTTTTGTTTGAAAACCTAATACAATATATCTTGGTTTTTCCAATTGATTGGATGTTTTTTCAGTCCAAAGATGTTTTGATGTTCGTAGTAATGCTGGATACTCATAAAGTTCCCACGACCGAAAACTCATAGAAATAGGTGCATCTTTCTGAATGAAATTGAACAAGTGTATTTTACGCCTATCGGACATAACTACATACGGCATTAACCATTCAATTTTTGTGAGTTCTATTTTAAGAGGCTCTTATGTATCAACTTTATCAACTTTCACATTATCTTGCATGACTGCGTTTAATTTATCTCTTGATCGATTAAGAATAAGTTTATGCTTTACACTCACAACAATTTTGTGATAGTCTTCAGCAAATCCTAAAATCATTGAAAGAGGTATTGACACATCAAAGTTACTATTGTTGTCAGTTATCTTCTTAGTTTCTTCAATATCAAGCCAACCAGCATTCTCCAGAAATCGACTTTGATTTTGATTCAATGAAACCAAACCTTTCATCGTACTTGTTAGTCCAACATTTTTACATTTGTCTATCTCAATGACATTAATTTCATATAGGACATCTTCGAATAGGTGACATATAGCATTATTGACGAACTTTGTTTTAGTAACAATAGTACAATCTTGTCTTCTTATTTTTTCAACGATGTCTAGAGAACTTTTTGATGGTAAAAGACATAAATCTTGATGTTGTATCAATATGCGAATTTCATCGCTATTATTGAATGTTTGTGAATTATAAGGTTGATATGCATGAACTTCATAGTGAGCTATGGATTCATAAAAAATGACAGATGCTTGCACACCAAGTATTTCTTCCATCTTTGAGATGAAAACAACACACAAATATACAAGTTAGTTTTTCAAATTTTTCACGTTTCTTCTTCTTTTTATTGCGGCGCTTCCGACGACGTTTAGACCGAGATTTTTCAGGAACTGAATGTTGCGACGTGTTAGATATTTAGCTATCCGTCGATGACTGACTTTCTGAGCGCATGATGGAGTTGTTATATAGCCGTTGCCTACTTTATGATTATAAACTATTCCCATCATAAAACTCTTCATATGTGTAAACGGACCGTGATTGTTTCACCATGAAAGTTTATTAAATTTCCATCTTGATCATAGACGTAGCTGTAAGTGATCGATAACTTTGACAGTTACAGGCAAATATATGATCTGTTTAGGAACTTCAATAATTTTATATCCTGGTGGTACAGCTGGAAAGAATTATTTTGATTGACATATGCTCCAGATGTTATGTTACATTCGACGCGTAGTGCGTTCACTTTGAGAATGGTAACAGTCATGTCAAAGACATTATTTATATCTACGGGCAACAACCGTTTGGTGAAATCTAACAAACGTCCAATAGAGTTATTTGATTGAAAATCGATTGGTTCATTACAAGTTATTTCACTGCATAAATTGTTTTTGGGCTTTATTTTAAGTTTTATACCTGTTGACTTCAAGTAACCTTTCAAATATTTATTTATGTTACCAATTTCCTAACTGCCTGTTGGTAGTTCAATTTCAATGTCACCAACTTTGAACTTATTGCGTCCAACATCAACATTTGGTATCAAATTGAATGTAAGTAACTCTACCAAGCCAAGAACATAAGTTTTATCTCTATCCAGTTCTATCGGTGGAAAATAGTATGTTTCTAATATAGATGATCTACCAGACAAACTGAGGGTTAATGATTCAACCATGTTGAATGATTATTCAAAACTGAATTATGAATTCACAATTCTCAGTATTTATACAAATGGTAATTGTCATGATGCTCTAGCAAATCACATAAAAATTTCAAACATAAATGACCACGAGTATAAGTATTATAATTTTGATATTTTTTATAATTGTATTTGATTTGATCAACTTTGAAATAATTCATAAGATCTAGAGGTGGTCTTAAATCACCAAAACTATCAAAGTAATGTAAGAGTATGAGTATGAGAGTATGCCACTCATACGGTGTGGGTGCGTGTGAGTGCGTCCAGCTTATGCTAACGAACGCAAGATTTGAGGGCGTTACGATCGCGCCTTGGCCGACGATGCGATGGACGCCGAGTCGCCGCTGCGACACTGATTGTTCGGACCTACTCTCGAGCGCCTCGCGCTTAAGTTGTATCTTACCATGTAATTTATAAACTAAGTCTTTTTTTTAAAAAAAAAATATAGCCCTCCTGCAGTTATTTCACCCACTCTTATAGTTCAGAAGTGGGATCGAG